CTGAGGCTGAGGCCGAGGCTGAAGGCAGACTGAGGCTGAGGCTGAAGCAGGCTGAGGCTGAGGCTGAGGCAGGCTGAGGCTGAGGCTGAGGCAGGCTGATGCTGAGGCAGGCTGAGGCTGAGGCTGAGGCTGATGCAGGCTGAGGCTGAGGCAGGCTGAGGCTGAGGCCGAGGCTGAAGGCAGACTGAGGCTGAGGCTGAAGCAGGCTGAGGCTGAGGCTGAGGCTGAGGCTGAGGCTGAGGCTGAGGCAGGCTGATGCTGAGGCAGGCTGAGGCTGAGGCTGAGGCTGATGCAGGCTGAGGCTGAGGCAGGCTGAGGCTGAGGCCGAGGCTGAAGGCAGACTGAGGCTGAGGCTGAAGCAGGCTGAGGCTGCAGGCTGAGGCTGAGGCTGCAGGCTGGCTGAGGCAGGCTGAGGCTGAGGCTGAGGCTGATGCAGGCTGAGGCTGAGGCAGGCTGAGGCTGAGGCCGAGGCTGAAGGCAGACTGAGGCTGAGGCTGAAGCAGGCTGAGGCTGAGGCTGAGGCAGGCTGAGGCTGAGGCTGAGGCAGGCTGATGCTGAGGCAGGCTGAGGCTGAGGCTGAGGCTGAAGGCAGGCTGAGGCTGAGGCTGAGGCCGAGGCTGCAGGCAGACTGAGGCTGAGGCTGAAGCAGGCTGAGGCTGAGGCTGAGGCAGGCTGAGGCTGAGGCTGAGGCTGAGGCTGAGGCTGATGCGGAGGCAGGCTGAGGCTGAGGCTGAGGCTGATGCAGGCCACTGCGACTGTCATCGCGAATGCGACTACGACTGCGGGAACAGCAGAATTCTACAAATGGGTTCTCATCTGAATCTTAAGGGGAATGCTTCCATATATGCTCCTACACATCGCGGTTAGGTTGCTCTGCCGGGATAATTGTACTTTTTGCGCCCCCATCCGCGGAGGCGCACATTTTAGACCGCGATATTTTAAAATCAATCAAGAATCGTGTTCAAAATCGTGGGTGGTTTCGCGGGGCCTTGCAAGGGGGCGCGGAATCGTTTCTGAAAATCGCAGGCAAAATCGCGCCCGAAATCGCTGGCAAAATCGCGTCCGAAATCGCGGGCGAAATCGCGTCGCCGAAATCGCGGGCAAAATCGCGGGCGCGGAATCGCGGGCCTGCCCGGTGCGCCGGCGCGCCCCGCAGGCGCGCCCGCGCAACGTCAACGACGGTTAAAAAAAGAAAGAGGAGAAAGCGGCAGCAGCGCCAGGAAGGTCAGCAGAGCAGCGGGAAAAAGAAAGGATGGGAACCAGCAGCAGGACAGGAGAGAAGGAGTCGTCAAAATTGGCCCGCCCGTTCGTCGCGCGCCCCACAGCGCGCTGGACATGCCCCTTAGGGGAGACTCGCCGGCCCCGCGGGCCAGGGGCGCGTGAAGATCTCCGGCGACTGCCTCGCAACATTCCTACTTTGCGCGCGCGCGGCAGCCCAGAGGGCCCCCCGGGCGCGAAGTGCCCCGGCCAGATCGGGCCAGAGATGGCTCTGCTCTTGGGCGCGGTTTTCAGGCGCCCCGAAGCGATGCAAGAGGGCCCCGAGAGGCGCCCGAGACGGTCCAAGTGGGCTTCGAGACGTCGAACGATCGGCCCGCGGCACTCACGACGGCTTCCAGACGGCCCACCACTCGCGCAAGACCCCCGAAGAGGCCACCGCGAGCGGAAACGACACCTGAAAACGTGATTCTGAACTTCGAAGAAAAATGGTAGCAGGGAAACACGGCGGACAAAAACCAGGGGCGACACCGCTCAAATGACGCGTCGAAGCGAGATCGCGCACAAGCCGCACGCCGACCGCCCAATATCGGAGCGGGTCGGCGACGCAAGAAATTCTGACAAAAAATAACCGAACACTTTGGAAATATCATACCTGTTGCTTCTGAAATGCGCAAGATCGCTGCACCAATCCGCTTGGGGGGGCGGGCATCTTCACGGCGCTCGGGGAGCGCGAACACCTTGCCTTCGGATGGCGCGAAGGCGCCGCGGAGCTGAAACGGGCCCAAGTCGGGGGCATTGCACGGCGAGGTAATGCGCCTGACACTGACCTGCAGGGCGCTGCTGCCTCTCCTGGATAGCCCTGCCCTTGCCTCGGCAAAACCGTTGTCTGCCGTCTCCAGCGCGGCGCGCCCCTCGATCCAAGCGATCCCCCTCAGTGACTGGCCACGCCATTACGACTGCAGAACAACTGCTTCCGGGATCTCGCCGAGCTGAGTGCTGGGGTGCATGCGCGCCTGCCTAGTTCCGCTGCGCAGCGCGCGTATGCTTCGGACTTCCACGGCCGCGGCCAGGGCGGCCGACTCCAGGTCCTGGGCGGCTCTGCTGTCTGGATCTGGGGCGGCTGCCTCGTCGTCTGAATCTGTCTGCCTAACAACTCTGACTGCGGCAGCTGGCTGGGTTCCTGCCGCTGGGGGGCGTTGCGAGCTGCCGCTGGGAGCTGCGCCACCTCCGGAGGTCGACGGCCCGGGGGCTTCCACGGGGGGGCCAGGGCGCGGGGGCGGCAGGCCCAGCGGCGAGCTGGATCTGGCCAGGGCACTCGCCTGCTCTTCACCCTGGTCTGGCTGAGCTCGCCAGGCCTGGGCTCGCCGCAGCTCCGCGCCGGCAGGCCGCGTCTGGTTCGCGTCGAACTCTGCCCCGCCAGGGCTGAAGTAGCCGACGGGGTCGTCGACCAACGGGTAGCTGGTTTGCACGTGGCCCCGATCCTGGGGGAACGGGTAGCTGGTCGGCACGTGGCCCCGATCCAGGGGGGTGGCGAACCCAGGGGGCGCGCGCGCGCGCGCCCAATTTACCCCTGCGGGTTTCCCGGGGGCCATCCCTCCCACCTGCGCCTGGGCAGCGCGCGCCCGCGGTGAAAGTGCTGGGGTCTGGCCAGCCACGATCCCGCTGCCGCGCGCCCTGCCAGCGGTGATTGTCGCTAAGAAGGTGCTCGATGCCATCGCAGGGTTGCTGACGTAACTCGCCGTGGCGGCGCCGCCCCCGTCAGAGTGGGCGCGCTGGGGCCAGGGGCAGCATCTGGCCAGGGAGATCTTCGCGGCCTCGCGCTCGGGGCGCCCCCGCTCTGAGCAGGGTAGGCGCGAGGGCCAGCGACGCAATGGCCCTTTGTTGCTGCGGGGCATGCCAGGGGGTAGATCGCGGCCGCGCGCTCGGCGTCAGAGAGGCGCCCGCGACGTGCACCGTGGCGGGCGGGGGCGTAGAGCGGGGGACGAGCGGTGGAGGGCGGCATTCCCAGGGAGTTGACAGCGCGAAGACATCTGTCCAGGTCGCAGAGTTCATTGCCGGGGCAAAGGAAAAGAGGGGGTAAAGGATTGGGCCGATCGGCCCAAGCGACGCGCGCACGCGCGGCACGGTGGCCGGCGGCGCGGAGGCCGCCCGCCCAAAGCACACCCAGCGTGGCTAGGCTGTCCGCGGCTTCGGCCGGCGACGAATGGCCTGCCAGGACAGCCGCCGCCCGCCGTTGGCGGCTTGCCGCAGGACGAAATCCACTTGCTGCGCCACGTGCGACCGCCTGTAGCGGCCGGCTCCCGCGCCGTAGCGGATGGCCGCCAGGTTGTCGCAAACCGCGCGGGCACCCCGGACTGGCCCATCTGGGTGCGGGAGCAGAGCTATGCCGGCTCGGCCCCCCGTGGCTTCGGCACTCTGGGCGCTGCCGTCCCCCGAGAGAGCCGCGACGACGGCGGCCACGACGATGGGGCAGCCCGCCCTGGGGTCGCGCCGCCAAAGAAGGGCACCCGCACCCGCGACTCTGCCCCTGCCAGCTATTTGTCTGGCGCCCCCGTCGAAGGTGACCTCGCATGGCCATCGGGCGGCGTCGGCGGCCAGGAATGGCGCACCGTGCGCGGTGAACTCGCCCCCCTGTGCCGGATGCCTCGTAGCGCAAGGGGCCAGGGTGTGAGAGTCGCACGCCTTGCAGTAGACTCGGGCCCATGAAGCAGTCGGGTCAGGGTCAGTCCTAGGGCACGGCTGGCGGGGGTACTTTTTGGATCGCGAGCGACGCAGGCAGCTGCGCGCCGTCAAGATACTCAGACGACAGGCCAACCTAACGCGACAGGCGCAGAAGGGCCACGGCGGTGGCGAAAACTACGCGGCGGAGGAGAAACGAACGAAAGCACACAGAGGGCGTGGCGACGAATAACAAGAGGGCGAAGCAGCAAGGACCAGCGAAAACGAGGGCGCACAGGAAAAAAGAGAACGAGAAACAAAAAGAGACACGGCGGAGAAGACAGGCGCGCCGCAGCTAAGGCTCAAGCAACGTCGAGGACAAGCTCTTTGCCGAGGAGCCGAGACTTGAAGTAGAGCGACATGTCAGCCGAGTCGCAATTGGGGGGTAGCGAAGTGGCCACTGACGCAGACCATAAGCGTAAACGGCTGGTGGGGATGCGCGAAGCGTCAAGAATGTTGCCATCACCGTCTCATCTGTCTCATCACCACCACCACCACCGTCATCGTCATCGTCATCGTCATCATCATCATCATCATCATCATCCTCATCATCCTCATCCTCATCCTCATCCTCATCCTCATCCTCATCCTCATCCTCATCCTCATCCTCATCCTCATCCTCATCCTCATCCTCATCCTCATCCTCATCCTCATCATCATCATCATCGCCATCATCAGCAGCAGCATCAGCATCAGCATCAGCATCCATCAGCATCATCATCAACAACATCAGTTTCAGCATTATCATCATCATCATCATCATCATCATCATCATCAGCAGCAGCAACAACAATAGCAGCATCACTCGCCTCATTCGCCGCCTCCTCCTTCTCCTCGCACATCCCTCTAGAAACACCCGGACCTCCGAGGAAATCCGAGAACCACCGAAACTATCAGGGAACAACCGAAAACATCCGGGGACGACGACGACGACAACGACGACGCCGACGCCGACGCCGACGCCAACGCCAACGCCGACGCGGACGCCGACGCGCCGCCGACGCCGCCGACGCCGCCGCCGCCGACGACAACTACGACGACGACCGACTGCCCCCGTGGCGCTCCGCGAGGCAACGATCCGCAGCTGCCATCGAGTCGAGCGTTACGTAACCGAAGCCGCGGGGGCGCCCGTCCGGCTGGCGCATCGCCACCTCGGTCGGGCGACCGCAGGCAATGGGTCGGGGATCTACTGACCCGTGTCAGTCCAAACCCAGGTCAGTCACGCTTTGCAGAATCCTGCAAAATCCTGAAAGATCCTACAGGATCCTTCGCACAAGCCCAGGTCAGGACAGCCCTGGCACTGCAAGATTCTGCAAGATCCCGCGCCCTGGTTGACACCCGTTTGAATTGACCCCCGTCCCTTGAGCCCCGAATGGGGAAGCGGGGGAAGCGGGGACAGGGACAAAATCGAACCAGGACAAATCGGGGATTTCAGAGATCGGGCGCTTCTGGAGGATGTGTCGGGCGCCGCGGCCGTGCCAGTCAAGAGCGTTCTGAAAGCGTTCTGGAACGTCTTAAAACGATTCATCCCGGTCCAGCACCCAGCCGAGCAGCAGGGGACGGGAGCAGGACGGGAAGGCAGCCAAAGCATACTGAAGGCCAGCAACAAAAAAATGCCTTAAGAAAAAAACTGTTGGCGTTTTTGTTGCGCCGCCCTCGTAGAGCTTTCCAGCATATACACCCACCACCACCACCCGCCAGGCCACTCCGCCTGGCAACCCGCTCCAGCGCCCCAGCGCCCCTCCCCTCCCGTCACGCGCCGCCTCCCACCACCCCCACCAATCGCCTGACGCCCCCCCCCCACACCCCCACGCCACCTCTTCTGGAGCTGCCGATGAAGCTCAGGGCGTGATTGCGTGCGTGCGTGCGCCCCTGTTGCCTCCGCCGCCCCTGCTGCCCACCCACCCCGCGAATTCGGGTCCGCCCTGCTGGTGCGCGCCCTCGACAAAAGCTGACGCGGGGCCAGAGAACCAGGAAGGGCGCGAGCAAAGGAGATGGGGGGAGGGAGAAGGAGGAAGACGAAGAGGAAAAGGAATAGGATGACGAATCGGAGGAGGGGGAAGAGGAGGAGGAAGAAGAGGAGGAGGAAGTGCAGGAGGAGGTGCAGGACGAGGTGCAGGAGGAGGAGGAAGAGGAGGAGGAGGGAGGAGGAGGAAGAGGAGGGGGAGGAGGAGAAGGGGGAGAAGGGAGGAGGAGGGAGGAGGGAAGAGGGATGAGGATTATGATGAGGAGGAAGAGGAAGAGGAGGACGAGGGGGAGGAGGAGGGGACGAGGAGGAAGGAGGATGTGGAATGCACGGAAGTGACTGCATGGAAAACAGAGAGACAAAAAGTACAATGGAGGGGACCCGCACTGTGAGAAAACATGCTCTGTTTACACTTACGGGGGCCAGGGCGAACCCGTCGCCTGCGTGCCAATATGACTCCAGGGCCCTTCTGAGCCGATATAGCGGCGCACAAGGGAGTACAGAGAGAGGCGCAAGAGGAGAGGCTGAAATGGGCCTGACAACCATAGCTCCTACCTTTTGCGGCAGCCGAAACGCAGCCGCGCCACAGAACATGACATTCCACTCATAGTAGATACCGCAGCCATGCCATGTAGTCCCAGCGCGTCTGTGGCGCACGGCCAGCACGGCTACACGAACACGCAGGCCTTGAGAACATATGTAAGTGAGATCATTGACAAGGTTTGGCCGACACGGAGTCCGTGCGTTCTTCAGACGTCGCTGCGTCCGCACCCTGCCCCATATGATACATGACGCTGTGCGGCTCGACGCCGCGACGGTCGCACTGTTGGCCAGCGCGCTCCAAGTAACGATCTGCTGCTCTGAGCCACTTGGCCCACTGAAGAAACAACTTCCCGCTTTGGGGGGCCAGCTTGACCCGAGGAGTCGGCAGGCCGGGGTCCTCAAGCTTCTCGTCTGGGCACGCGCGGGCACTCGGAAACGCTGCGGGGGTGGAGTGTGCTGCAAGGTACATATTGACCGAGCAATTCCAGATCCTGTGCCATAGAAAGACTTGCTTATTCGCCTGTACTTTGTCCCAGACCCCCCTCACCGTCGCAATGTGAACCCAGGGCGCAGCGACGTCAACGACGCCATCGGTCTGGCACCCCTGCTTGTGGACATGCATATTGAGATATGCCTGCGCGACGATTGCGATCCACCTGCAGTTCGAGAACACACGGGCACAGGTTCATCTCAGGTCCGACGTCGGACGAAGCATGCGCCGCGCAGTGGGCGCAGGAGGTGCGGCGAAGTGTTCTCTCGCAGAACATGCCGTCGACGCTTTCGTAGCTCGAGGTCCTGGCTTCGACTCGAACAGGTCCTTCTTGCTCCAGATGGATGCCAGCGCTGCCAAGTTGGAACCGTGGTAGGCGGCCTCGAATTTGGCCCCCTGCTTGTCGAGCTCATTGCCATACTGCATCTCCCTGGCGCATATCGGCGACATATCCACGATCCGCCACTGTCTGGTTGGATGCGCAATTGGACCCTTGACATGAGGACCATTTGACGAGTCCTGATAGGCACCAACGAGTTAAGCGGGATCATCTGGAGACTTGGACCTCCCAAAATGACCCCCCAAAACCAGACGGCCAAATCAGTCGTTGTGAAGGAGGGCGTCGAGCAGATGCCCCCCCCCCCCCCCCCCCCCCCTCATTGCGTCGACCTCTGGGCGCGCTTTCCAGCTGTCGCTCACCATCTGGTTGGAAAAACCTCGTTCTTCCTGGAAAGCCTGTAGTTCCTCCCCCGGTGGGCACTGATGCGCTGCCCTTCAGGCCCAAGAGCTATCTAGCCCTTCTCTGCTGGGGGCCATTCCAGTCCTGGAGTAGCGGCGTAGTGGTCGCTATCCACCGCAACCGTCGCGGCCTCGCAGTGCGCCCGAAGGCGTCGAGGCAGCGCGATTGCGTTCGTTGCATGGTCTGAAGCACATCGTGCAATTTACCTTTCATTTCAAGACCATAGCGCGGTTAGTTTGTTTTCGTCCTTCCATCCATTATCTATTGCCGCGTCGAGCGCGCATATTGGCAGCTTACGAATTTAAGGGCAGTGCCCCGCGAGCTTGACTCTTTAGATTGGAGCCCCGTTCGCGCGCGGCTTCGTTTGCATGGCGACTTGCACGATGACCTTCTCATGCGCCATCGCCGAGGTCAAAGGCGCAGCCTTCGTGGCTTCCAGAGCGAACGCGCAAGCATCGTAGCCTACGCGCCACTGCACCCACCCCAGCAGGGGTCGCTTCTCAGCCGCCCCACTGGCGGAGGGTTCTCTACGCATCGTTTGAGATCCCCCACGGCATCTGACAACTCGCAGAAGTCCTCCAACTCGCAGGCCATCTCTTCTCTCTCGCCGTTCTCGCCGTGGATCCTGATCTGGTCCGCAATGACCTAGAGGGCCTTCTCGCCTTCTTTCGCCAGCCCCCACCTCCCCCGCTGTCAGCGACAAACTTCTCGTCCTCCGGAGGAGGTCGCCAGTGGTTTCTGCCGATCTTCGGAAATTCGCGGCGTAGCTCACGCCGGGGGCGATGGCCAACGCCGCGGGGGGCCCGCGCAATGGAGATCTGACGCTGGAAGAAAGTCGGAAGGGCCCATATCTCGGCGCCCGTGCACACCTGAAAGCACGCGTAGAGAGGCTCGTAATCGCCGCTCTCGTCTTCTGCCTTCAAGTAGTTCTGCGCGATCCCATGCCCATACGCGTTGCACGATTCAATCAGACCCAAGGCGATACCGCGTGGCATGTGCGTCAACAGCTAGAGCCAAATACGAAAAGTAGGCTGTCTCCGGCATGGATGCTGCACGGCCAGAGCCCGCCCCTTTCGAGCTCGGATGGATTGTCCTTGATCGCCTCCGCTTGCTTCGCCATGTCTCGCATCATCTGCAGGACCTTCTCCTCCTCCACAGTCGCGATGTAGAACAGCGGCTGCTCTCATGCGGGTAGAGGATCTGGTAGCGCGACGAGGTCGCCCACATTGATCCAGGCATGGAAATCGTCCCCGGCGGGGGCCCCAGGTCTGGAACACGCTGATGCACCACCACCCCATGAGAACGATGCTGCGGCCCCTTCGCCTCGGGATGTTTCAAGTGAAAGAACCCGTAGCTCTTGCGAGGTGGGATCGCTGTTGTCGCCGGGAATCTCCACCAGGTTGCCCGGGGGGGTGCGCGGCCCGGCTTCTTCGTCGAGCCCCCAACTTGCCGCGCGCCCGGCAGCGAAGGCGACGTCCAGTTTCCGCTTGTGGGCAACATCCAAATCCCAACGATCGATCTGCCCTCCTGGAACGGCAACCGCACTCGGGCGCTTCACTTTGAAGCTTCGACGATGGGCCAGGACGTCGACGCGGTCATGATCGTCGGGGAACAGGACGCAGACACCGTCGGTCCCGACGCGCCTCGGCATTGGGAGGAGTGGCTTGCTCCCCTCGGTTGTCTCCTAGGCAGTCTCCTCGGCTCTCCTGGGCCATGTCGTCAGCGAGGTGCACGTTGACGCACGGGCGCTGTGCTCCTGTCGAGAGCATGTTGTTGCCTCTCGCCGTTCGAGCTTCGCCCTCCGGCGTCTCTGTAGGCGTCTCGGGTTATGCGGTTGCTTTCCGCCCTCCCCCACGTTGGCCAGAGCCTCGGCAACGAGCTCCCCCCCGCGCAGACTCAGCGGGGAGCTGCCGCCGTAGATGTTGTCGCCTGATGCCGCGCAACGGTCCGCCACGGGGCTTCTCCCTCCTGCGTGATATCGCCCCCCTGTTCGTCGCCCCCCTCGTTCGAGTCTTCGTCCTGGACCTCCTCGGCCCGATCAGCATGGAGCTTGGTCTTCTTGTTATGCCAGCGCCTTCGATGCATAACCCTTCTTGCTTGGATTGCCTCCTCGGTCAACGATCGAGTCCGCTTAGACCAAAGCTTGCAGCCTCAGTTCTTCTGCGGGAACGACGGCGCGCCTCGGTCACGCTCAGAGCATACGACCACAGCTTACGGCCTTTCGGTGCATCCAGCAGCCACTGCTTCCTCCAGGTCCGCCATCGTGCTGATGCGGCCTCCACTGTCGTTCACGGCGCGCCTTATCCTGCGGAGTCGATTCCGCAGCGCCCACTGAAGTAGCAGCTCCAAGAAGCCCAGGTGTGGACGTCGAAAGAGGACGGCGCAAGACGGTTCATTCTGGCACGCCAGATGT